TCTGGAAGTATCTTTGTTATTATCTTTTTGATAAAATATATCTTTTACTATTTATGAATTACAACTTAATCTTAAAAATATTCATTTATTATTTTTAATGTCAATCCCTATAATAAATAATAATATATTTAGAAAATCTATCATATTATCTTCTAGATGATTTAAAAAGAATTTTGTGTAAAATTAGTTTTCTTTAAGTAATTATATCAATCTTTATTTTAAACTCTTCATTTACTGTTCTCTTTATAGATTATTAAATTAATGTAGTATCATTTAACATAAAATCTCTATAAATGATTATTAATATCAGTTTTTTAAGGAGATCTCAATAATTATACCCTACATTCCCTTAAAATAGAATACTTTTGAAAAATTTGTATGAATCATAGGAAATCAAAATTAAGAATAAAGCCAAAAAAAGATATAATTAAAAAAAATATAAAGAATCAATTTAAATAATAATTGTTTTAATGTTGTTTATGAATAATAATAATCACTTTTACTTGAGGTCTTCTAAAAAGCAACTACCTTTGGATTTAAATAAAGGTCTCAAATCAGTGCCTTGATGATTAATCAATTCTCCCTTGAGAACAAGTGCTCCTTATGCTTAGAATATTGTGGATTATGATATAAGGAGTGTAGTGATGTAATTGGAGGCTAACAATATGATAGGTAATAAATACTACCTTCTGAAATATGGCTCTGTTATTGGAGGGGAATCTTAAATTATGCAAAAATATCTTTGTAGTTTTTATCAGAGGATTTAATTTCTTATCCTGTCTTTACATCCCATAGGCGGATAGATTTATCGTCACTACCAGAAGCTAATGTATTTCCATCAGGAGAGAAACAGTGAGGATAATAAAAAGCCCAATATATGGTCAGAGTGATTTTGTTATATTGATAAGTTGATCTGATAATGATAATGGAAAGTTTCAAAAAAAAATAAATTGAAGAATTCAATGGTCATAATTAATAATATAACTCCATATATTTTTCGTGATAGAAATATCTTATCATCTTGTGGTGCGAATTACTCTTAAAAACGGAATGACAAAAAGCCAAATTTGATTGTCATACTAACAGAATGTTTTCAGTCTTTCTGATGGAAATACATTAGCTTATGGTAGTAATGATTAACAAAGCCTACCCTTTCTCTTTTATACGAAGAAAAACTCAATCCGATCTTCCACTCAATTGAATTTATTCAAGGAAAATAACAATAATTGTAATCATGAACATAATAATATATATCATTGATTTTTTGCTTTTTATAAAATAATATTAAAGGGGGTTTATTCATAAATAGAGATAAAAAATAAAATATTTTAACAACTATCAATTATGAATATGTATAACAAAACTGGTCATATTTTCCTTTTATTCTTGGTATTTGCTAAAATAAATTTGCTGTTAGATTAACTTTTGAATTCTGGAAGTATCTTTGTTATTATCTTTTTGATAAAATATATCTTTTACTATTTATGAATTACAACTTAATCTTAAAAATATTCATTTATTATTTTTAATGTCAATCCCTATAATAAATAATAATATATTTAGAAAATCTATCATATTATCTTCTAGATGATTTAAAAAGAATTTTGTGTAAAATTAGTTTTCTTTAAGTAATTATATCAATCTTTATTTTAAA